AGAAGGCCATGCTCTGTTCTGGGTGGCCTTAATATATCAACTGAAGCGGGGGAGTCAATACTGTTTATAAAACTTCTATGTGATAATTAGCTATCAGCTTAAAAAAAAAAACTGTTCAAAAGGCCTTGCCGAATGAAAGGTTCTCAGAACCTGGTAGACTGTATGTGTCTGTTCCGTATGTGGTATGCTCACATCTCCCGGAGCTGCTGTTCCTGGCTTGCAGGATGAGCTATACAGGTTCTATGCTGGCAGCTGTAAGGCTGAGCTAAAACCAGGGGAGAGAGCTGCTTTTCAGTAGGCTAGCTAAGGCGTGCTTTTGGAGAGCTAGCAGTGACAGCAAATAACCTTTTCTTTAAAAAAAAAAAAAAAAAAAAAGTAAAAAAAGGCTTGATGCTGACAACATGTGGTATTTTGCCAAAACCCTCGACACAGGTGACAGAGGATGATTATTCTCCAATTTAAAATTAACTCAGCTTGTTATTTGTATGACTCGAAGCTAAAACTTCATGCCTAAACTACTAAAATTGTCCTCTCAAGTGAAATCAGCACTATGAAAAATAACAGTAGCCTTGATACCTGCTTTACCATGGGCCTCAAAGCAACCCGGTCTTGTACTCAGTTGATTCCTGATGTCGTATGGTATGCTGGCTCGTAGCCCAGAACTGTTCCTGGTATTAACAACTCGGATTTGATACAACTTCCTTATTTAAGAAAAGGAAAACTTGTGCCTTGATGGCAGCACTGTTCAGTGACACATCTGCACTCTGTAAATGACCAGACTGAACACATGGGGGAGAAATGAGAACAGCTCTTTAGCTGAAGAGCTGCTTGAGAAGAGGCGTGCTTTGGAACGCTGAAATAAACAACAAGGATGAAAATGTACAATGTGGGATACGCAGTGTCGGATGGGATGGTGCAGTTGTTGTGAGAGTAGGGCACAGGCACTCTTCTAGTAGTGCGCTGATAACAGTAGCTGCCTAGCTTATTATAGCCTTTTCTGACAGTCAGGAAATACTATATGCCATGATGAAAAGCAGGCTGTCAGATTTATTTTTTTTTTAGCAGAAAGCAGGACAAATTGAGAATGGAATAAGTAATGCTTGATCGAATGAACACACAAATGAAACTGTTATGTTGGTAAACCAAGATACTAATGTTAGAATGAGGAAAACGTGGCACTTTTTTGTCTTAATGGGGAGAAGAAAGTGAGACTTGAGTGTTTGTAACTCAGTGATGAGCTAAGGAGGTGGGCAAGGACTGGAATTTCTGTAATCATGCTGGGCGATGGTCTTTGTTAAACCATGAAGGTGTATGCCTGTGACTGCAGTATTGGCACCCTACGAACAGAAGTGAACATGTAAACAAGATCAATCTAGATACCTTCACTGAATACTATTTGGTTTTTCTCTTCCCCACCCCCACCCCCTCCCCAAGGTTTGACATATAACGAAGATCTTTGAAGAAATGAGCATACAAACTTGGTAAAGATGTCTGTTCCAAGCCAACACCGTTCCGTTATCATCAACCCTCCTCCACCAGAATATAGAAATGACAAAAACAGTGGCTGTCAAACCAACCAACTTCAGTACTTACAGAAGGTGGTCATGAACGCCATGTGGAGACACCACCTTTCCTGGCCGTTTCAGCAGCCTGTAGATGCAGCAGCACTAAATCTTCCTGTAAGAACAATTTTGGAATTAGAGTATTAGTATGTGAAGTATGACAGGACCTGTGAAGTAATGTTAGTTTAAAACAGGGTTTTTTTGATGCAACAGATCATGAAGACTACTTTGGCATGCAAACTGCTTCCATTGATCCAAGTCTGCATCTTTGTTCACTTGCTTTCTGACCTGAGACTGCAGTAAATCAATATTTCTAAGGGACAGTAAGAATGCTTAGACAGGCCCCCTGGAGTTTTGGGATATTGGTATTCTATCTTGTCTTCTTTCCCCCTCCCTGATGGTTTAGCCCTTAACACTACACATGATGAATATTTTCTATTGCCTTTGATGTTTTTTTTATTTTTAATAGGAGGCAGCCAGCCTCTTGCAATGTCAAATACTTTACGATGGAAAAGCAGATCTGATTGCCCCTAAAGTACACTGACAAATTGGGAGCCAGTTTGAGGCACAGAAGCAATTACACCTGTAGTACTTCTTAATTTCAAACCAACTTGGGCATCTTGCTCTGAAGTTGCTAGAGGAATTAAATGTCCCTGCAAAAATAGGGAAGAAAGATATGATGATCTCATTGTACCACAGTAGTAGAACATTCTTCTAGGGGATAGAAGATCTGATGCTTAAATTCCTGTTCTGTATTGCCTTGTGGGTTTTATTCTACCAAGAGATACTGCTCTTGGTACATAAGTAGAAAGGGGTTAAAGAAAACCATGGTACGTTTCCTTTTATTTTTTTTTCTCCCTTCACCTGCATCTGTTTCTCAGGACAAACTCCTTTGGTCCGTTTGTTCAAAAGCACAGTCAAAGTGACTTTCCTTCTGTGTCTTTTCTTACCCTTTTTCCTCCTTGGAGGGAACTGTCACTTAAGGTTAATATTGAGGGTCATTCAATCAGAGTTGTAGCAACATTTGCAGATGGCCTCAGGCCAGTTCTGCCTCTCTGGATTTCTAAGGCAGCCACTTGACTTCTAAAAGTACATGTTGGTTCAACTGTCGCACAGCTCTGGCCACATCTTGTTGCTGCATCTTCACTAGACTGACCCTGAGAGCAGAGTCAATATAACTCTGGGGATGAAGTATTCGATCAGTAACTGGGGAAACTTGCTGGCTTGTTTTTGTCAGTGACTGAGTCTTGGTCTTTGTCAAAGTCTGTCTTTGGCTTCTTTTCCCCTGTCCTGTAAACTGGAGTGCTACTTCAGGCAAATGGCTTTGAGACAACAAATGTACTGCTGTACATATACTTTTCTTAAGTGTTACTACCAGTGTAGCTCTGGATCTTATTGAAACAAATATCTGGGGGGCTTTGAACAGAGGATGTTGTATGAAAGAGCAAGGAGAAAATACGAGGTGAAGAGTTCCTGAACGCACTCTTCTGTGGGGCCTGTGACTATATAGGTGTGACTGTTTTCCTTTAAGTAAATTATTCCTGCCAACATAATGCAATTCTCCTCTCTTGCAATTTAACTTCCATAACTACGTGTGTAAGAATTTTCATGTCCTGACATTAACGATACCTGTTGTGTCACTCTGTCAAAACCACAGGATTATTACAGTATCATAAAGAAACCTATGGACTTAGGCACCATTAAAAAGCGCCTGGAACACAATTACTACACAAAAGCGGCGGAATGCATTGATGACTTTAAAACCATGTTCTTGAACTGCTACACCTATAACAAGGTATGTGAGCCACAGCCTCTTACCAGTAACCAATTCTAGTGCTCGATAGAAACAAGTCTAAAACAAGCCAATGGCGATTAGAGCCTGCACTGAATCAGTCAGTGTCCTCCTGAGCTGGTTTTTCTTTTGAAACTATTTTCTCTGAAAGCGGGGAGGGCTTTGTTGCCAGGATTGACTGAGAGCAGGTAAGCGAAGTCTAGCCTGCTGTTACAACACCTGAGTGCGTGGGCTTTTTTTGGCATGAGGATCCCACCCGCAAAAGCTCTGGGTTTTGGTTGCAGGGCTCATGAACAGAGTTTCAGGCTAGCAACCCTGAGCCATGCTCTGCTCCTCCAACAAGTTGAATGAACTTGAAGTGTGAGATCTCCCTGCGCTTGGATGTTTCTTCGCTGTGTCTTAGTACCTTTAAGCTCCAACAGCTTTCCTCAGAACACCGAGATGAATTAGGGGAGTTGCAGATCTGCCCCCTCTTCCCTCTGCTGTGGGAAGTATGTGGATATAAAGCAAGTGGGACTGTGCAATGGGACAGGGGGAGAAAGAGTATTTCAACAATGAAGCAACTTGTATTCAAGTGGGTTGGGGGGGCAGAGATGGCAAGGACTTACAGACCTCTCTGGTACTGGTGGCTGGATTCAATCTGCTAGAGTAGGGTTCTGTAGACTGTTCATTTTACAAGGTAGCCCTCCATTACTGCAGCCTCTCCTTTCCTCTGAATGTTACTCTCTTTTGCAGCCAGGTGATGACATTGTGATTATGGCCCAAGAACTAGAGAAAGTGTTTGTGCAGAAAACAGCCGAAATGCCACCAGAAGAAAGACTAGTGATTCTGAATAAAGAAAAGAAAAAAGAAAAGAAGCCAAAAGGTAAGGCCTGTATTCTATGTTGAATGGTTAACCTATTAAACAAGCAAAACCTGGAAATGGGGAATCCTCTGTAGCTTCAAGGCAGAATTCCGAATTGGCCTGGAGGTACTGCTGGCAGTTGTTGGGGAAATGTTAGCTGTCTTGAAAGAGCTGCAACACTTCTTAACCCTGATACCTCTTAACTATTTGTCTTCTGACGCCCGAAGAGCAGTGACCTTAGTTAGCTCAGTTCTTACTGGGTCACTTAACAGATTCTCTTAGGATTTAGCTATGCAAATTAGAGCTGTATGTTTTATTGTAGAGACTTATAGGTGTGAACCTCTGTGGGAACTAAACAGAATCCCAGAGCTGGAAAAGACACCAGTAATCCAACCGGCCAAATCACATACAGAAAAACACTGGTCTAAACTGTCCTCGGATGGGTGACAGAGATCTGTAATATCACTAAGCAATGTATGAAGGTCTTAACTCTCCTTAGGAAAACTGAACCTTCATGATGCAGTTTGATGCACCCTTTGCTGCTTGGTCTTTATGTGTATGTAGAAAACACCTAGATTTGCTTATCGACAAGAACATTGTTACAGTGTATGGGTTTAGTGGGATGTCTCTTTAATCTTCCCTCTGAGGTTAAGCCACGGCTTCCTTGAAGCCAAACAGGCGTACCTCGGTACGATACCCTAGCTGAGGTACGAACGGTGCTCCGTAGAGGAAGATACCAACGGTGCTCTAGGTAACAATGCTCCTGTTCGTACTGATTTGTAGAGTTTGGGTGGGAAACAGTGGTGCTGTTGACAACTGTTCAGTTCGATCATGAAAGAAATTAACGCAACATTTAAGACCGAACTGTAAAACTTTCTGTTTTAAAATAACCAGAATCACAGCAGCCCATCCCTGGGACTTCAAATGAACAAAGCACAAAGCAGAAACAAGCTGAAAGCAGTGAGCAGCCTCCAGTGACGGCTCAGGAGCCACAGCAGGCTACACTACCTCCTCTGCCTGCAGCTCAGCTGACTGCTTTAATGCCAGGTGCACTGCCAATAACAAAAGTAAGTTTCCTCAAATAACTTTCAGAAAGAAAGGTACTGAAATTGCTCCTTCAGGCACTATCAGCAAAGCCATAGGAGCCATGCTTATTGCAGTACCTTTTCAAAACTTCTGTGGTGATAGAAGATACTAAGAGATCTCTCCCCAGTCTTCTAGGTCTCTGCTAAATAACTGGGCCAGTACTAATGCTAGAAACTAAGGAGAAATTGGGATGACTGCTTGGCGCATCTTTCCTTATAAATGTGGTTTTAAAACGTTGTTCTTGGAGAAACAAAGTGAACTTTAAGATGATCAAATCAAATGCTCGATTCCCCAACAGTCGCCTGTTTGCTTAAACATTGTGGAACTAGCCTGGAAGGTGTTTGTAGCTCACAAAAGCAAGTTCTTGTTAACTGCAATCTGAATTGTAGGCGAACATCTGACACTTTCAGCAGACAAACACTGTGTGGCTTCCAAACCAAACACCACCCCGGCTACAGAAAAATGGATGTAAACCTTGTACATAAAGCCCGCAACCAGGCTTAAAATTATTGCAGTAATTTTTCCCCTTCTCGTGGCGGTCATCTTGTGGTACCTTCATATCCTACCAGCTTCATGGAGTCTTCTCAAATGGCTAAGAACTGACCACAACCTGACCTGCAGGGCACCTTGTTCCTTCCTTGACACCTAAGACTGAGCTTGGCTCAAGTGCTGATCTTGTACCACCTCGTAGGTTTTCAGTCTCAACTTGTGGAAGTGCCTCATTCTGCTCTGACTTCCATAGCTGTAAACCTTTCTAGATATTTTGTGTGTGTAGTCTGAAAGCTGACCATTCTCTCCCTGTTCTTGACACCTGTATTTTAAACTGTAAAATGTTCTTTTCCTAGGCAAAAAAACATGTGAAAAAGAAGGCTGACACTACAACTACCATTTCATCAGTATTCACAGCAAGCGGTGAATCTTCTGCAACGCTTAATGAAAGAAAAGCTGTTAAAGCATGCAGAGGTGAAAAAAAAAGTACAACAGCAAATAAGCCTCTGAAGAGATGCTTGCCAGATTCCCAACAGTCACCTGGAATTCCTAAAAATATTCAGTTGTTGGAACAACTAAGACGTTGTCATGAAATACCCAAAGAAACGTTTTCAAAGAAACATGCAGCATATGTGTGGCCTCCCGTAAAACCTGTAGATGTTGCATCTTTCGCACTTGGCGAGAACCAAGGGACCACCAAATGTCCTACAAACCTGGAAACCATTAAAGTAAGTATGTTTCTGAGGGAATCGGACTATTTGTGCGCCTGCTTGAACAACCTGTGCAATGACTTGATTTTAATAGCGTTAGCTGAAAAGGTGTCATGAAAGCTGCTTCTCCTTTGAAAGAAATCATGGGCATAGAAACCATATACACTTCTCTCTCAACAAACTAAGCCACAGCTTGCTGAAGAAAGTCCAAGTCCCATTGTGACTATGTGCATAGTGGCTAATCTCCTTAGATGATGCTTTCTACTTTTAAGCCCTAAATGTGCCTTAATTTTCTCTTCCTCTAGAAGAAAATGGACAATTTTGAATATAGAGATGAACAAGAATTTGCTACGGATGTTGCATCAATGCTCCTGACTTGCCACAAACAGAATTCTCCAGACCACGAAATATTTGCGATGGCAAGAAAACTTAAGGTGAGTAATCACTTAAGTCAGACTTGAAAAAGAGTAGGACTATAAGATTCCTTTGTGGTCATCTTGTGCCCTGATGTAGCATCTACTAACGTTACCGACTCCTGTGTGGCTGTGTAGTTCTTGAAAACAAGCAGCAACTTCATACCACTTTTAGAATACTGTGAAGCTGACCTCTCTGCTGTCCCCAAACTTAACTCTTTAGGATGTTTTTGAGATGCGCTTTGCCAAAATTCCCAATGAACCCGTCGCAAGTGTTCGTCCGGCACAGCCTACAAGAGAAATGACCAAAGCTCATTCCAGCGAGAGCAGTAGTGACGACTCTTCAGAAGAAAACTCCTCTGAAGACTCTGAACAGGAGATAAGAGTGCACCTTGCAAAGGTTCAGGAGCAAGTAAGCATTATTACTCGACATGCACAACTTATCTCTCCGATAGTGCCATTTGCAATTGTCCATTCGGAGGCTTAGCCCCAAAACCAAGAATTTAAAAGATTCTGCAGTCATCTGTTTTTCTTAGTGCAGAACTTTATTTCTGTTGGTGCTGAGGTGGTAGGATGAGAGCATCCAGGAACTCTCCATGTAGCTTAGTGGCATATTCTTCTAACAGTGGCATTTCCTTCATATGTTTGCAAAGCTCTGTTTATAATCTCAGTCCCTCTTGAGCCACACAAAAGCAAGTCCTTCAATTCTACTTCAGAAAGCTCAGTATGAAGTAACACGGAAGGAATCTCATGCTAATGTGAACTGTGGCTTTGCTCCACAGGCAAAGAGTGGAATGGGTCTTGCTTTTGCTTGAACATAATGCTCTAACATGCTGCTGCTGTATCTATAAACTGTGGGGAAAATTAGCGTTTGTTCTGCGACTCAATGAGGGACAGTTTAGTGTTCAGTATGTGTCAGAGCAGCATATAGGTCATCAATTTATGAATATAGGCAAGAGGAACAACAAAGGTCTACAAGCCAGCCTTTGCAGCAGTCAGGTGTTTCGGTGTCTCTCTTCCAATTCTCATGGTCTGACTATCTTCCTTCTAATTCCTATGAGGTTTAAAAACTTGTCTTAGGTCTTTCTCTGAAGCTGTCGCTATGTCCCAACTAGTCATTTCGTATCACAAAATACCTGGGGTTAACAGGTTGGAGATGCCCAAGCCCAGTCCCACGAGCCTAATTCAGCACCACTGTAGAGGTCTAACCTAATAAGGCACTTAGGTGCTTCCCAAATGCTTAAAATTGAAGTGAGGCTGCTACAGTTATTTTTGCTTTTTTTTTTTTTAATTCCTCACAGGATGCTAGAAGACATATGTTGTTAGAAATGCCTGCATAAAAGAAGTAGCCTCACATCTTCTATAGCCATAGTCTGTGGCTAAGCTATAACATAGTAAGATGCTTGGAAAGGAAACCTCATTTGGAAAGCAAACAGCTTATTAATACCCACTCAGCTGTCACAAATTGCCTGTGATATTTAGGACCAGTTTATTGTTCTTCCTACATTGCCTAAGATTATCAGCGTTACTTTTTTTTTTTTTGCTTTTGACAGTTTAAAGCTGCCCAACAGCAGTTGCAGGTTTTGGCTAGAGCATGCCTACAGAGACCGAAAAAGAAAAAAGGGAAGGCTAAAGGGGAGAAAAGTCAGGACAAGGAAAGAGATAAAATAAAAAGCCCAATTCAAAAGAAGAAAAATCTGGAAGGGAACAAGGAATCCATGAAAAATTTGTCTTTAAACATGTAAGTGTGGGGGGACTTGCGTGGGTGTCCAATTATTTTAAACTGCTGTTACTGCAGCATGTGTTTTTCTTGCAGTCAATCAAAGAAAACCATGCAGCAGGTCTTGGCGTGTAAGTCAGAGGATGAAGATGGTGCTAAGCCTATGAATTATGATGAGAAACGACAGTTGAGTCTGGACATAAACAAACTCCCTGCCGATAGGCTTAGGAAAGTAGTCCATATACTACAGTCAAGAGAACCTGCACTGAGGAACTGTAACCCTCATGAGATGGAAATCGACTTTGAAACTTTAAAGGCTTCAACACTCAGAGAGCTACAGAAATATGTGGCAACCTGTTTAAGGAAGAGACCAAGAAAGCAGCAGCGTATGTAGTGCAAATGATCCTTTAAAAAAAATGAAACAAAACCCCCCTAGATTTGCTTTTTCTTTTGCTGCAATGTTAACTTCTGTTTCACCTGCAGCTAAAAAACCAACGAAGTCAAAAGAACAACTGAATTCCGAGAGGGAAGAAGAGCTAAAGAAGACTCTACTGGAAGTCAATTGTCGACTAAACCCATCTGGGCAAGCTCAGCAGATTCCCCCTCTCCGAGCTCAGCAGATTCCCCCTCTCCGAGCTCAGCAGATTCCCCCTCTCCGAGCTCAGCAGATTCCCCCTCTCCAGCAGTGGGAGCCGAAGAAGAAGGAGAACGTAAAGTGTAATGTGACTCTTCATTCATTTGCAACAGACAGAGCTTAAAGTGGGATTCTCCCCTGGGGCTGAGGCACTGTTATGCAGCAGGGGGGGCTTTCTCCTCAGAACAACTGAGGTCTTAAGCTTCCCATTGCTAGTTTCGAGGTTATTCCTGTGTTGAGTGAGCTGGAGGCCCAGCAACAGATCTGGTCAGTTACTTGTCCTGTCTAAAACATCTTCCTTAGGCTTGCACATAATCCTTTATTACAGGTAAAGATGAGAACAGCCTCAGAGCGTAAGGGACACTGAACACCTTCTCCCTTCACTGACATATGGAAACATGGGGCAGGGAGGAGTGTCCCGCAGTCTGCGGATTTGTTTGCAGTTTGCTTTCTGTGGCTTAGGGTTTCCAGAACGACAAACTCTAGTCTTGCTTGAGAGATTGCAGCCTCACTAATGCTGTCATGGCAGCAAAACTTCTGCATCAGTGCCAGGTGTGATGTGTTGCCTTAGTCTGAAGGAAGTGCCCTGGGAGAATCAATTCCCTTTTCCCGGCAATAATGCGTTTCAATATCCAAGGCAGAAATTCGGTCCATACTTGAGCACATCCGCACTTACTGGTGGTTCTCCTCGGGGACTGAGAACAGATCAATACAGTGGTGCTACTATGATAGGTCAAGTTGTTCCTCATTAACCTAGTGAGTGATATTATTGCCCTCTATTGGACATCTATCAATCAAGCTCCTCTGTAAAACCAGCTAGCTGAAATAATAGAAGCAGCCCTGCAAGACACAGGCTTGCACCCAGCATTAGCTCAGCCAACAGCCTTCCTGCCTGGTATATGTGATGGCTTGAAAACATCCCAGAAAGAAAAGCTGCAAGTAGCTGAAAGCAGTTGTGAAGAATATGTTGTGGGGAGAGGGAGGAGGCAGGCCAGGGAATCTTTACAACTGGCATCTGGCTTGTTTACAAGGCAGAGCTTAAGCTGGCGCTACAAGACTTGTGTCCAGGGAAACGAGCATCCATGTAGCTTCTCGTTTGCAAAGCCTCCATCAGAGCAACACGCTTTGAAACAGCTTTTGGACTGCAAAATCACTATAACCTGAGTTAAAGCAGCCCTGCAGATGCAAAACAGTCAGATGGTGGGGAGGCGGCAGAAGATGATAGTTCTGGGGTACCTATGGCTTGGGAAAGAGGAGACTTGGCTAGAGATAAAGACCTCAGCATGCAAGTCTGGCAGCAGCAACAAGCACAGAAACAGGCTCTTAACAGCAGGGAAACTTGAAATGTGTCTTAAGACAGGACAGCGTTAACCTGCTTTAAGACTGCAAGTCGTGTGATTACGGCTTCTCCTTGGCTATTTCATTCAACCAGCTTGCTGCTGGTAAAGCTCCCTCCTCTCTAAAGGTCTCAAACCCACTGCTAAATGGACAGGGGACAAGGAAATGGCAGAAGATGAACTGTTATATGGGAGAAGAGACCTTACAAGACTGATCTTAGTCTTGCATATGAAGACTGCTCCACTGCAGGTTGCTCTAAACTCTTTCTTTTTCTCCTGCAGCCAAAAAGACCACCAAGTCCAGCCCTCGAGTAAGAAGACTGAGCGACAGCACCACCTCCTCAGAGTCCGACAGCAGCACTAGCTCCTCTGACACCACCAGCAGTAGCAGCAGTGGTTCCAGCTCCTCAGACAGCAGTGACTCTGAATTGGGTTAGAAAGCTTCCTTTTGTGTTTGTGTAGGCAAAACATCTGCCTTCTCAGTTACCACTGACTGTTCCATGTGCTTGCCAAGGATTTTGATTACCCTTGTAGGTTTCATCCACATTGAAGCCTCAATTCCAGTGCTATTCAATGAGTGTCTTAATACTGAGTTTTTAGGGTAAAATAACAAACAAAAAGAAAGAAAGAAACAAAAACCCACCCAAAAACACCACTACAACATCCACTCAACTTATCAGCTGAAAACTTTAGGGACCAAAATCAGCCAGCAAGAGGTCTGTGTATCTAACCTGGAGAGCTGACGAGGAGGCTATAGCTTGCTCTTGTGGTTTTGATTCCTTTCTGAAAGTGTGATTGACTTCATCTTCGGCTTCTGGCCTGCAGCATGAAGGGTACCTTACCTTGTTGGCAAGGCTTAGTCCCCAGGCTGAGGGACAGAAGTGCCAACAGCACTGGCTGCAGAGCCAAAGTCTGCCCTGGTGCTGAAGTGCCTCAAGCTCCTTCAAGGGACGTTACAGCGCTGCAGCACCAGGGTATTGGAATGACGATTCTCTCTGGACACAGACCTCTCCTCAGTTTTCCAGGACAGAACAGCTCTGCCAAACTGGAGGTGTACAATGTAGATATCTGCACGAGGTAGTGCTGTAAGGCAAGGTGAATGCTCAAGCCTTTGCAGTGTGGGGAAGCAAGCGCAGTGAAGTCAGTGATGGCTGCAAAGACCTCGATCCTGCAGGAATCTTTGTGGTGGTTTTTATATCTTGCAGCAGTTCTCTAAACACATAGTCAAATATTCAAGATAATGTTCCTTTTGCTGTGAGGTTGGGCTCTCTATATACAACTGCAACTCACATCTTGTATGTGTAAATAGTGAAACAGATGTCAATGATTTTTTTTTTTTTTTTTTAATTACTTTTCTCCTCTTTTTTCCCATCCCCATCTTTCTGCCTACCTCGCTGTTTTTATAGAAACCTGCTCAAAACGGGCTGGAGCCAGGCAGAACTGTCCAACTCCTAAGAAAAAGCGTAAGGTAATGAATTCAACTGACTGGAATGGATATAACACTTTTGCCCTGAACAAAGTTATTTATGTACAACGGTGCTGGAAATGACACAACTTTGTCAGGAAATAATGAATATGGCTTGAATGCTACATGTTCTGTAGGACAGATTTACATGGAGATGTTAAATCTGCTGTTTGTTAAAAGTAGCTTATGTATCTGTATAGAAACCGATGTACTGGGAGAACTCCTGAGGCTTTTACCTCTTACAGTCTGTGTGGTAATTCCACGTTGGGTGAAGGAGAAAGGAAGAGAAGAGAGGGGGATGCTCCACACACTCCACCCCACCCACACCCACACAAGTCAAATCCTCTCCAGCTTGGTCTTTGAGTATAGAATTGACCTCATAAACAGTGCAAACCCCACTTGAAGAAAGAATATTTATCTAGGAATCACCTCACTTCTACCCCTGATAATACATAAATTCTACAACGTACTAGTCACTTTCAGGATACTTTATATTATTTATTTCTATGGTGTTATGATGAGCAACAGCAGTTTCATCTAGAAATAGTTTTTTATGCCTCTAAGATTGAATTGCTCTATTCCTGTACATACAGTGGGTGTTAATTCTTGTCAGGGTTGGCTGCCTTTCACAATTTCCCTTGAAGCTACCAGAGACAGAGACCTCAGATTTCAAAGCATGATCACAGCAAAGCCTTCATTCTTCTTACAATAGACTTGCTTTCACTGGAAGTGCTTAGTTGGATGCAGGAAACCAGGCTGCCAATGTATTATTCAGCTGCTCCTTCTGCATCTTCATAAGCAAAGACTGAGGAGAGGAATTATGCAACACCTTCTTTTTTTTTTTTTCCTTTTTTTTTTTTTTCTTTTGTTGTTTAAAAATGGGAGGCTCTGCAGGGACAGAACGACAGCAATAAACTTGACAAAACAGGACCCAGGAATTAAGCTTCAGCTTGGTCAGTTATAACAGCCCCTAACTGACTTGCAAACATCATACTTCAAATCCTCACATTACCTTTTGTTCTCATGGCTTTTCTGTATCTGTCAGACCAAGGCAATGCACTTCCCCTCAGGGGTCTTTGTCATCTAAACTCTTGGAGAATGCCAGGTTAGTACCACGATACAGGGACTACTGAATCCTGTCAACAGTGGAAATGGAGGCATTGTGGGGAAGGGCGATCAAATAGCTGTAAACTTTAAGATTTGGCTGTGTTAACTACTGCAATCTCTCTCTAGACCATACCACAGAAGACCTCCAGCAATGCTGTTCCGCAAGCACAGCCTTCATCTCTTACTAGTAGCTTGCAAAATCGTGAATCATTCAACCTGCAGCAGCCACCTCTCAGTGTACTGCAGGGGTTTCTGCCTTCACAGAATAGACTCCTTCCACTGTCAGAACTAGATGCCCAGTCTCCCTCAGGTAACATCTTTGCGGCAAGAACCCTGGCTCTGTGTGTGACAGCTGAGGAAAGAAGGGAGGGCAGGACGGACACTGTGTTGCCCAATAAGCTTATCTCGGAGCTTTGGGGGTTATCAAGTGGGTAACAGAAAAAGTTCTTGCAGGGTATGGATGGTAAAGAGAATGATGTAAATAAAACTGAGGTGGTGCTGAGGATCGGCTAGAGTTTCAGATGGATGGGGCGCTTGTGGTGGGGCAGAATAGTCTTAAACTGGGAGGAGGTGTTTGTGCCTCCCTCCAACAAGATGGAAAATGAGACTTTAATGAACCTAGGGCCACGGGCACTGCTGACCACCTTAAGGCAGGAGTTAGATGCCATCACCGCCACTCAAGTTCATGTCTGAAATCCCTGTTAGCTCAATGGAAGGCGTGGTGCCATAGGCTCTCCGAATCGATTGGGGTTGTCCAGCCACATCAACCATTAGGTTGCTTAGAAACTTGATCCAAGGAACTGTTCTTTTTTCTCCTTCACTTCAAAAGGTCTAAGAACTTCAGACGCTTCTGAAGTTTTGGTAAAAGACAACTTCAGCTGGTAGCTGATTAACTGAGAAATCAACTAAAAGCTAATTACAAATAACAGTCTCAAATAGTGTAGCTGGGCTACATATCTTCATAGCCAGTTAACCCGCAGATCTAAACAGTGACCTAATTTTGAGATATACAACTGCACTTTGCTCATTAGTGGAAATCATGCGCCCCTTCTTTCTCAGGTATGATCTCAGCTGTATCTCCTCTGCCTGATACTCCAGACCAGCAAGCTTCTCCAAGGACAAATCAGTCTCCTGTCACCCAGTGCACACTTGCTCTTCCAGAGGTGAATACATCCTTCTCTCCAATGCATTATATTTCCAAGAACTTCTTTAAAGCACGTTCTTTAAAGAAGATCTAGTAGGATATTCCAGGCTTGAATTTGATGCAACAGAGGCCACTTAAGGTTTGCAACCAAAGTTGCCTAAAACCCCACTAACAAAGCCATTCTCCTTTACCAGGGCACTAATTCATTGCCTGTTGGCTGCCACACAAAAGGAAAGCGTTTGGCTGATCAATATATCCAGTTTATAATACGCTATAATGCATATTTTATTCCTTTTCAGTGCTATAGCTTCAACCGAAGTAACCCTTGCACAGGTTAAAAGTCCACCCTGTAAACCGACAGTTTCACCAAAGTGATGGGCAGCTCATACTCTGTGTTCCTGTTTTCTAGAAATATCAGTGCCATAAGCTCAGTAATACTCTGAAGACTCTAGGGGCTTTCCTGGAAAAGTGTGTGGGTTTTTCTTCCTGTTCCTAAAGCCATGGAAACTGCGTCTGTCAGGGTCATAGATGAGGTGGTGAAATATTTAGTCACCGTTGATTTCTGTCTTGGGATGTTCTTGAAGAGCATCTTGGTTAGAAGAGCCTCTGTGTTACAAAGGAAGTTATTGATGTTACTGCAGCAGCATGATGTCTTCCATCTGAAGATGTTTAACTACCTTTCTTAATATGCTTTCAAACATAGATGCTTTAGACAGGTTTTAATAGCTTTTCTTTTCCAAAAGGGGCAGAAACTACCTCCTGAGTCCCATAAGAAAGGAAGAAAAGCAACTCGCCCTTTCCCATCTGTGCCCGCTGTCCAAGGCAGCCAGTAGATATTGCGAGCCTCTGGTCTGTGCAACACCTTCCCCAGTTCGAGGGGATCACTACACAGTCTTGCACAGAGAAAAACTGCCACTGAACTGAAATCACACAGCTGCCCTTCACCCTGATCCATTAGCTAGAGGGGAGCAATTGGCTCTACAACAGTAAAAGCCAGCTCCTATTACGTTGTACCGTGTCGAGGGTTGAAGAGTTCATATCACTTCTTGTATTCTACCCACTCCATCGCTTGGGATCTCTGAGCAGTTCGTGTTCTAAATCCAAAGTGTTAATGTCAGAATTTGCTTTGACTACCATAACATGAATGAAATCTAATTCTTCCCTGGTGTTTACAGAAGCTAGAGCTGCAACAATTTACTGCTCTAAGCTTCTAAAGCTTTAATCCTGCTCCTGGATAGGAAGAATCCACATCTCGAGCACTTCAGAACATATTTTGAAGTCTAACTTCTCTTCTAGGTATCCAACACAACTTCCCAGGGTGACAGTGCTGACTGGAGCCAACAAGCTGAGAAGGCCGTACATCTAGACAGACCAAATACACCTCCAAACAAGGCCAGTGAGGGAACTGCTGCTGGCCATAAGTCAAGAATAAAATCTGTATTGTCATAATAAAAACTGTAACTAATATCTGCGGGGCAAAGTTAAGAATGTGTATGAACTTGGTTTAATGAAATAAAATGCTAAATACTCGTCCATTAATCAGTTTGCAGAATAATGCAAGGGGGGAGGTTTTCTTTTGCTCTTTCTTTTTCACTTTTTTCTTTCAAAACTGTTTGTTTGGGTGTTGGGGTTTTTTTTTTTAAAAAAAGGAAGTTAAGTTAAATGGATGTTTGGTTCTTGTTCTGTGTTAAAATATGTAAAGCAAAGAACATTTCGAAGCCCATGGCTGCAAGTACTCTTGACATAGCTGCATATTCCTGTGTTCTACCTAGAGCTTTAAGACAGACATGACTATAAATTAATTTTCAGTTTGCTTCAGGTAGATCTTGGCAGGTATAACAGGTTGATCAAATTGAGCTTAACAATGGGGTATGTGCAGCTCTCTTGGAGTATTCAGTGCTCAAGACTGTTGAGTTTCTTACATGAAGATTCAAGCTGCCTGTATGAGGATAAATGACTGATGAAAGAAAGAAAGATGCCTATTGTACTAAGAGGGACACCTTAACACACTAGTTCTCTGCTCTGGAGGAGAACAAGGCTCTGATAAGCAAAATCTACCTAGATCAAATGCCATTAACTGGACCTGGAATCCACGAGAATGGAGATACCAGGATTTGGAACCCCTTCAGTAGTACTTCAGAGCCTCCAGAGGGCTTTCTTCCTGTTCTGTTCCACTGTATAGTAAAAATGCTCCTGCTTGCTTTCAGTTATACCACCTCACAGGCAATGCATGGGGGCGTAGGGTAAAGGCCACGCAGTGTTCTTGTCTTGACTTTTGGAGGCTCTGAGGTCTTTCTGAAAAAACCCTTTAATGACAAACTGGCTGAGGGTTTACACAGGTATTTAAAACAAACAAAACCCACAGGCCTCATACAAAACTACTGTTAGGTAAGGATGATGTATAGAAACAAGAAGGATGTTCTCCATACTAAAATATTGTCAATGGACCTTCCTTAAGTTCCGTCTTGTGAATTTATATTTTCCAGAACCAAAAAATTGAGAGGCGGACGTAAAAGATTGGGTAAAAATAGCTACAAATAATAATGACTTTTAGTGCATTGCTGAAGAATCTCAAAATTGGTGAGAAAACATACTGAAGTCTGCTTGGACTGCTGGATTTGCACTCATAATCTGCCAAAATTAGGATAGTTTGTTGTAGATATTCCCAAACAGGTCCAGTCAAAACAGCGGTGTGCTAATGTAAGAACTAAGCAGGCAACGGGTGATTAGTGACTGTAGAGTGGTTTTGCCTCTTCCATGTTTTCCTTTTTCCAATAATTTCAGGATACAAGTGTGAAGAGTACAAATTCCTGGGGCAGTTTATGTAAAGCAACGACACATCCAGCTCCCGTAAAACCATCATCTGAGATCTTCAAGCAGTTCAGGGAAGCAGCATTAAAGAGGAAGGGAGAGGAAGAACAGCTGTCAAAAAGCCCTCTGGTGCAAGCAGAGAGGAAACTGCAAAACCTTCCTCAAGGAAAAAACAGGTTTGTAACCACATACGTTTCAATAGCATTCTGGTTTGTGCTGGCATGGTACTGGCTGGCTCAGTTATTCAGGAACAAATGGTTTGGATCAGATAATTGCCGTGTGTCCGATGAAGGGGGGGGAGCCGTACCACTCTAAACACAACTGCACATCCAACATGCACAAAGCGGCTTTCTCCCTCGCAAATCAGTACCATTCCAGCAGCCAAAGAAACTTCTCAGGTGCTCTTTTATTTTCTGGGGGTTTTTTGGCTTTCTTTTGGTTTGGTTCTTTGCATTTTTTTGTCCCCTGGAGCATCCAGTTCCTCTGGCCATGACCAGAACTCACACCTGTCCTCAGTACCTTCCTTTCCTGTATCTGTGGCCAGGAAAATCCCCATCTCATTGCTATCCTGAGGGGAAGCAGGATAATCTAGTCTTCAAGAACTTGGTCTTACCGTAGCTAAAGGAGTTGCAGCGTGCACCACCTCAGCCAGCAGAATTCTTTGCGTTGCTGTAGAGAAACACAGTCAAGAAGCTACTGCTGTAGTATTCTTCCCCCGCTGTTGGCAGCCGCTGTTTCCGTGAGTGCCCACAGACGTATCCCAGTCTGAGGTCTATTACTATGCTGAGTGGGAGAGGTGCCTGCCTACTAATTACTGCATTGCAGTAATACCTTTTATTGCTGTTTGCCACCTTTTGGAAATTCTGCTGTCTGTAATATTTCCCTCTTCAGTAGTCTTGATTTTCTCTTCTCTCTTTGACCCTGGGAAAGATGTCAGAGCCCATTCCCAAGTTCTCCTGCTCCTGCCCGGCGCTGGCTGTATTGGAATAGGTCACTTGTTTGGAGCCTGTTATTTTAATAAACAGAGCATTTTGGAGACTTAAGAATATACTCCTTGTTCAGAACAAACAGTGAACAGTCCAGGCACCTTCAGGTTTCCACGAGGAGGAAACCAGGCACGTAGTGCTATGGAATAAGACATTACAGATGCTTGCACTGATTTAAATTGTCTGCAGAATTCTGTTCAGGTGCAAAGGCTGGTTATGAAGAAAAAGAAGAAACAACTTTTACCCTATACCGATCTCTTCTCCTGTCTTTAAAGGGGCCCTGAAGACAATGCAGTGGGTGCTACGGCAGGGACAGCCTGTAAGCAGGAAAAAGAAGAGGTTAAGAGCAAAAACCACGCTCTTGTTCAAGATCAGAAGTTGGCTAGAAAAATGGAAGAACAACGCAGGAGAAGAGAAGCAGTAAGCTGCTGGGTCTTGCCAGCTGACTTTGTTTCAACTTTAGTAGAGAATGAAAAATGTCAGCCCAGGTCCTTATTGTGAAGGGCCTGAGTGATTAAAAACAACAGAACTATGCTACCTGAAGAGTTAGTCCAGAAAATAAATAGGAAACTCAAAGGAGGTCTTCAAGTGACGTAATATGAAAAACTCTTTATTTCTGTTACTCCCATAAGCTTAGAATAATTGCGTGATAAACTCAAATTTTCAGGAGGAGGCCCTGCCCTCTGAATAATTTCACACTTCAAGTCTTGCAAGCTGCCTACCATCTTTAACGTATTCCACGTCAACAAAAGCGCTAGACATACTGTCCTGGTCTGAAATACCAAAACTGAGCCTTTTTAAAACTAACTTACTGGTTTTATTGGTGTAGGTAATGAAAGTTTTTTTAATTGCCTTTATTTTTCCAATGAATTTTCTTTAAAAAATTTCATAATACAGTACAGTGGAATGTAAGAACTGCAGTGCGAGCTCATGCTGGACTCAGATAAGCTCTACTGAAGCTTTCATCCTGTTCAGGTCTTTTCAGAGAGGGCTTCAGCAACATGCCCACCCAACCTTGTAACAACAGAGGAAGCACAGACTTGTGGGGAAGAAGCTCTGTAGTGTTTTCTTAAACCTTTATTAAATATTTGACCTGCATAGTAGTCATTAATGTCTGACTCCCCTGAAAATACATCAATTTGCTTTTTTTGCAGACAGCCCATACAATTGATCTGAATCTGCAGCGTGACATCCTGGAAGCTTTTGAAGATTATCTCGAGTGAAAGCTGTAGTTAATATAGAACTGAACTTCGACACTACTACAAACCATACAACTCTGAAAATGTACTAGTTACAAACTTCCATGTTAAGACCACTGTAAATAGCATGTAAGCGCCTCTCAAATGTTTGATATTTAAAGCTTGTTCATTGGCACCTGAAGCACCATCACATCTTTTTGCTGCTTATTTATAACATACTTGTTCTTTTCGTATGTTGTGTATATATGTGACAAAATATCAGCTTCTTGATTTTTTTCTTATTTTATTAAACCAACTTCTTTCAGAAACGCTTGAGAATCTGTTATACTGAGTATAGCCAAATTCTTGTTTGACTGTATGAAATCAAAGTATACTAAATATGCACATACAGAAACTACTTTAAACCCAGGTCTTGCCAATTAGATGACGGCCATCAAAAAAATCACTTTACTACTATGACACACTTGCACAGAATCTGGGCTGTGACAAAAAGCCTCTGGAACAGTGATAATTTCTAAAGGGTGTGTAACATTATTTGTAATCATAAAAAATCCCGTTTGTCAGGGAACTCTAATTTCAGCAGCAAATCCTGTACACTTGCATGTCTTTTAAGGCCCAGACATGTTGATCTTCTGTTTAATGTATTTTTTGTTAACATAACATTTGGATAAGGGTGCAAGCATGTTTCCCAGACAGTTCTGGTTCTTCACAGAGAGGAATTATCTAAAATATTCCACTTCTGGCTCCAGTTTGAAAGGCTTTCTGATTAATGCAAGATTTTATTAATGTTGGGACACTTGTCTGAAGTAGGAACTAGAGCGTAAAACCCCTGCATTTTTGTTGATTACATATAGCTACCTCAAATTAAGTACAGGACTAATAACACATTGTTTTATAGAATTAGTACCAAAACACAATGTGTATTACAGAAATGTTGGGTGCAAGGGGCCCCCTCGAGATAATCTAGTTCAGTGGCCTCCAAACATTTTTCATCATGCACCCCATCATTAAAAAATTTTTAGTATGCACCCCAAGACATGTATATTTATTCATTTATAAATTATATACATGTTCTACTGTACTAATACATTATTTACATTATAAAAACATACACAAAAAAGGGAAACTAAAAATATTTTAAATAGTGTGAATTTAATTTTGCTTAGTTGTTTTCATTTTGTTTAATTTATTTCGTGATCTTTAAAAAAAGGTTTTGTATTCAGTATTTTCTTCCCACACTCCACTTTAGAGACCACTGATCTAGTTGAACCTCACCCTCAAAACTCTCTCTCCCTATGCAGACCTCTGGTCTGCCTAGTTCCTGGAACAAAGTTGGAACTGAAGGTAACACTGCCCATGTTATGGTGAGGGTCTGCCACAGACCACCCGACTAAGTACCCTAAGTGGACAAGACTCGACAAATAACTGAATTTTCAAGACGAGGGAAATAAATTGCATCTAAATCCATAAATGACAGCTAAACAGTTGCCTGGTCTCTCAGGTAACAGGCTGATGAGCTAGTGCTATCTACAAAATACCTATTCTGCCATAAAATCCTGCTCGATATCTTCTGCCATTGCTGGAACGGTAGTATTCCATTCAATAGCAGAAAGAGCATATATTGACAGATGCTTAGATTGGGGTATCACCCCTTGAGGTGTTTGAGGAAGTCCTCTTATGTGAGCCCTGCCCGGACGCCTGCTCAAGTGTATGCTGTTTGGGAGATTTGAGTACTGGGCTAGGAAGGGGATTTGGGGTGAAAGACGGGTCGTAATGTCAAGTGGTGCTGTTAGGATGTGTTGTTTCACATCCAGATCAAAAGTGATTCAGGCCTGCCTTCGCTTGTAGTTTATACATCATTAATAGCTATTTGTCCTGTGATAAAATATTGCAGTTCATTCAGGACTCCCTACCTTGCTGTCAAATGGACACACCTTTCTGACTGGGCTAATGCAAGCTCAAGATCTCTTGCTTTGGAAATAAGAGGTGAGGGAGGGAAGGGCGAGAATTTATTTTCTGCATTTCATCCATTCTGTACATGGGGATTGCTAATGGTATGAACTGGTAATTTCGCCCCTTCAAAAACTAATTCCAGCTTCCATGACTCTATAGTGTCACGATGACTTAAAGTCACAGTGTCAGTGCTGCTAAGGCTAATCTGATAAACCCTTTATTTGCAACCTAGGATTCACTTAAAGAGGTGTCGTAGTCTAACCCCATCCGGCAACTAAGCACCGTGCAGCCGCTCGCTCACTCTTCCCCCCCGCCCAGTGGGATGAGGAGGAGAATATAAAACAAATAAAACTCACAGGTTGAGATAAGAACAGTCTAATAATCACAGAACATTATTCTCATACTAAATTAAAAACACACATTGTTGTAATAGCTCAAACAGAGTCCCTTGTATAGCATTAATAGAAAGACTCGCTAAAGCCTTAGGCCACAAGAAGTGAATTTGAGCTGAACTTACACTTAGTTACAGGAAGGGAGGGCCCGAAACCAGTGCATCCTGTGAAAAAAAAGGTAACCACATCCATTAGCAGAAGCTGCATCCCAGAGCTAAGAAAAGAAACAACCAGCCTGGAGACAGTGAAAGAATGCACTGAGGAACAAGAAGACCCCAGACCCAAATATTACTATTGGACTGAACCACCTTGTGAGGGGAAGGGAACTTAGACTGTACGGGTGTAATTGCCCAGCGATTTCTCTCTTGGGGGTTCCTCTCCGGAGGCAGCCAGCTCGAGCTCTTTTGCCATTGTACCATCGGAATAAATTATTTTTATAAGATTCGATGCCTGAGATTCTGCTACAGGAAAACTAGGGTAGAGAAATTTCTTTAACCACTCTTTATCAGCAACTAGGAAGAAAATTAACTCTATCTCAGCTGAAACCAGGACAAGAGGATAATCAGTTCCTGCCTCCAGACAGAAGGCTGAGTTCAGAGGAAAGGGAGGTGGCTTCCAAACATAAATGAGTAGCAAGCCTATAATGATAGCCCAAAGCTATCACCACACTCAAGGAAGCAGGAATACCACTTGTGTAAGATATCCCCTGCAAATACGGAGCTGCTTAAATAGTTACCTACCAGTTAAAATCGGTATTAAGTTCTGTTACGCTGTGGATTTACCTTGATCATTTGTGAAAAGAGCTGCACTAACGCGTTATTTTTATACTTGAGTCTACACTGGTAGATTGTATCTACGTGTAAATGAAGGGTAAGATAGTTAAAAGCTTTAAAAAGTTCCTCTGTGATTAATAAATGGAATATGTTCATTTTTTTGCTATCAACTATGAGTTGGTCAGGCTGGAGGCAAGAGTCAGTGATGTGCAAAGTTGTCCTCTTTTGTCTCTCAGAGAAATGGGATTAGTTGAACTGACAAAAGATAAGCAGGCAGATGGCACATTATGGAGGGCAAAGCACACTGTCAAAGCACGTAAGACAATCTGCCCTGGGGCTGGTTTGGCTTGGCACCCATTAAAACAATAATTTACAGCAGAAGACGAGAAAATCAAAATATAAGGAAGACAGAAAACTAAGTGGCGAGGTTCTCCATTTTTCTTACTCAGATATGTAGAGCTTTCTAAGCTTTCTTCTGCAAAATGGTGGAAAATGCATGGAAGTATTTGCCTTGTACAACCCAGTTTGCCACACATACGTGCAGGCAGTGTGGTCCTAGAGTACAAAGAAAATGTTCCTCAATAAAAGAGGAATTCTACCGCTTCCTTGGCAAACAGGACAGCTGAGGTAGCACAGCTGGAGGTGCCCAGAAATGCCGGGCCAAGGTGTGCAGCACGATATGCAGCAATTTCACTGTGCAAAAGCCGCTCAGAACAGCTAGGTCCTCAGCCCTGTCGTCTTCCCAGCTCTGATACTGGATCTGTATCTAATCTCTGAAGATGATGCAGCTAAACTCCACAGGCAAAAGGTTTGAATAACTTAGAAATTTGACATAAAACCACCTAGGTAGTCAGTGATGTATAAACTAAAAACAGACTCAGCTCTGTTCCTGTGAAAAATTAGCTCTGCTGTTTGTACAAGAAATATGGCATAGCTTGGCTAAATACATGCTTATAATAAGGCACGTCCTGGTTCCCTCTGTAATCCTTCTTGTAGTCTAGATAGCTCCAATCACCTTCTGAACGCTGCGTCCAACCCATTGCTGGGCTTTCATCAGCCTTTTTTAGAGGTAAGTGGAAGCTTGTGGTCAACTCCAGGATTTCCAACCTTGGTTTTCAAATTTTTCTTAGGGGATGTTTTCTACTAATTCATTCTGATTACTGGTTCATTAAGGAATTTGATGTCTACTGCGATATAAACAACAATGCTGGTTGCTTTGCTCCTGCCAAACTTTCTAATTTATCTCACCGGGTCACTGGTTTACTGAGGTTTACTTCAGGGAAAATCTGATATTGAGAAGCTACGAAGGCTTCTCCCTTACAAAAAAGGTTATTAGCACAGTCTGATGCATAAAGAAATCAGCTATATGCTAATCCTAGGGTTGGCGGTATGAGTAGTCTGAGCATGAACGGAAGGCTCAGGCTTGGTAGGCATGATTCATAGAATCCTACTGGAGTCTGCAGAGGTTAGTGTCTTAACTGAATCATCAGCTTCTGACGCTGTTCCTTCTCTTCTTGCCCAAGAGAAGGAAGGAGCCTTCAACAGCCCAGCACCTTTTTCCCCAGGAGCCTGATAAAGCTCCTGACCTTACGTTTGTAGGGCTCACGTTCAGACAACGAGCAGGGATCGTGAACAGCACGATTGAGCTTTGTCAGCTGATGTGGGTTGCTGATATTTCATTCCAGTTATTGATAAGAGGAAGCTAGGCAGCTTTTACAGCTACTTGAAGATGTTATCTTCACTACTAAAAAATACATTCAGATAATGGTTTTGTATCTTATTTAAACTTTCAAATGCATGAAAATGCAGTAATGGGCAATTCTTTACAACATTCTCTTCTGCTGCTCAAGTTTTCTATTTGATTTTTAAAAAAAGTAAAATTTTAAACTTGTTAAAAGCAGCATTA